CTGTGTTCAGAGAGCCAGGCTCCTTCCGCCTGCCCAAGAACAATGGAACGGTCAATGAACGGAACGGCTGAGGTTTCGCCGAAAAAGGCCTGTGCCCAACAGTGTTACTAGTAGTAAGGCACCTGTTACTACTAGCGATGCACTTGTTACTACTAGCTTCCTACCCCCCCCGAAGAATGTTCAACTTCCAATGATCTCATCTTGACCTGACTGGATGCCGGATGTGCATGTTGCACTCCGCTTGACGATGCCAGGTCGTGTTCTGGAACACAGAAACAGCTTGACGTATGAATGTGTGCTGAAAATGTGTGCCTGATCGCACAGTTTGAGTGCCTCCGAGTTCGCCCCGTGTGCCTGAAAGGATGGCACCAACCTGTTTGGATGCTAACACGGTGACCTTCCAGCGCAGCGAGAAAGCCATGCTTGATCGCGACCGACACTACCAGGGCGGCGCGAGGTCAGCCGGCTCATAAAGGGATACCGAAGTCGAAGCACAATTTCTTTGGATAGCTTGAATCCCGAACAACCCTTGTGTTACTGAGGGCGTTACACTACAAAATCAGATCAACGATTTAAAACATGGTCGAACGGACCTCCAGGGCATCGATTTCACGCGCAGATTCGTGGGTGTTTCTTTTGAACTGTTCTCCAACATATATTCCAAGGGTAAGCATTTGCAACATAAGGTGCCAAATAAGCGCCAAGCCAGTGCAACCTGGTAACCTTTGTGTCCACTGGGTTGGGTGACCTGGTCGTGAACGCGTTTCTGATGGTCCTGGTGACCACAGACGCCGGGGTGGACGATTAGGTCGCGGCAGGCCGGAACGGCGGTGGCAGGCGCCTGGGTTGAAATGGATTCAGAGCCCATTTTCCTGGATTTTTTGGGAAGTGAAACGAGGTCGCTACTAGGTTGGAGGCCATTGCTAGTAGGGGGAGGCCATCGCTAGTAGGTTGGAGGCCATCGCTACTAGAAACAAAGAAAAAAGAAAAGGAAGAAAGGTGTAATAATCACAACGTAATATAGTAGGGACTGTCCAGAGTCTATCACCCAACTGGAGAAAATCGTGCCATGGAAATCGTCTGAAAACAACGACCCTAGTCCATAGGATTCCTGCCCCATCATTGATGGTTCGAATCCGACCCCCCCCCGAACAGCCCAAGGATTGGACTAAGGATTTTGGACTACAAATAAAACCAGGTCCTCCCTTTCACTCTTTTCAATGGTCGAACGGAAGGGAGTTAGAGTTTTTCGATTGGCAATCGCATTTTCTCTTGGGCTCCTGGACCATGCAATGGGTGCCCTCCACTACAAACAGAGGTGCCCATTGTGCTATTAGGTGGAGGCCATCGCAAGTAGGTTGGAGGCCATCGCTACTAGGAGCAAGAAGCTACTAGTAGGTCTTTGAAGCTTTCTAGTAACTAAAAGCTATTAGGTGGAGGCCTCCAGCGCCTCTTCTACCTGCCTGTTCCCCGCTCGCCTTCACCGCCATCCCCCGGAAAAAGAAGACATCAGCAGAAGCAGCTAGAACGTTGTGCCGAGAACGGTTTGCCCAAACGGGCAAACCTGGTGCAGATGTGAGTGCCTGGACTGGTCTTGATTGAGCTGAAACACGGATTTTCATATCGGGTTTGATGGGGTGAAAACAGGTTTGACTCATGTTCCAAGAATGTAAGGGTTTAAGATCCAATTTTGCAGGATGTTGTCATTTTGTTGCTCTATCTGGGCCTCCGCAGGGGTCGATAGTACATGTTGCCAGTGAGTGACATCGGGACTTTCACTTAGAGTGTTTCCAGAGCAGATGGCACAATCGTCAAAAGGTAGTGACCCCGTGACCGTAGATAACCACTGTCAAACACTGAAAAACAGTTGGCTGGTACAACTTTTGCATAAAATTTAACTTAATTCTAATTGCAAGCTTCTTGTTACTACTAGTAAGGCACCTGTTACTACTAGTAAGGCACTTCAACCTGTCCTCGGATGTGGGATGGTTGGGATGTGATCCGCTGCGTATCTCACGAGGCTAAGCGGCTAAGCTTCTCACGCGACTGGCGGGTGATCCGGCAATGGACCAGTTCAATCAAGAAGGTCTATGGAAAAAGGAGCATGGAAGGTCTATCCTGCCAATAACTCCTTAACTTTTTGGTATGTGAATGTCTTGTTTCCCACATTTTGTGTTCAGATGTTTTTACCCCCTTTTTTCTTCGGACCACAGGGCTTGGGGAGACCATGTTTCTTTAGGCCGAAAGAGGCGAAAGGAAGAGAACTCATAGGTTATTTGTTGTGTAGACACGGACGGTCACCCCGACCACAGGGACCGGCTGGACCTAGACTGTAGAATGGGGAAGATTCGAGGAGTGTGAGAAGCCAGAGTGGGGATGTACAAGGTGGGACAAGAAAGGTGAATAGTGGAGACCTGGGGACTTCGACCCATGTCCCACGCATCTGGGCGAAAAAAGAAGACGCTTTCTCCAGACACTCATGTCGAGAGAATGCCTCCAGACCTCGGAGGATCGGGACATCGGTCGACTTTCTGCAGAAACAGGGCGCCTCATCGGCGCGACGCGCGCCTCCCGAACTCGGCACCGGTAGCCCGACCCGTGCAGTCCATGTAGCAAAGGACGAGTAGCGGTAGGTCAACCAAAGATATCCCGGTGCCATGAGCTACAGCTATATGAGGATTGTTTCGTTTGTCTACATTTGCTCGGTGCAGGCATGTGCGTGTAGCTGGTGCACGCATGTCCTTCTACGAAATGTCTGGTGTAACCAAGAGTCTACAAGAAAACCTGGCAGTTTTTGCTTTCCAATTGTTTTTCTCCAGAGCTTGTGGTCTGCTCATCTCATCTCTGGAGTCGTGAGAACTTTCGTAGACTGAGGAAGGCACCCCTCGATCTAATCGTCGGCCACGAGGATCAAGAGGGTCATGATCAAAGAGATCATCCCCTCATGTAAAGAGAGTCATGATATATGACCCTAGAATGGTCCTGATTAGTCTATCGATCAGTCGATCAGAGAAAGACCAGATCCTCCCTCACCTGAGGTCATCATCACCTGTAGCCTGGACTATCTCGTGCGCACCTGGCACGGGCAAAGCTTCCAGCTTCTCCAGGTGTGGAGAAACCGTTTTCGCCCGGGGCCGACGGATTGGGAGGTTTCGGGGGAGTTGAGGAGCAAGTTTGGCTCAGTGACACCTGGTGGAGCATCAAAGCAATGCGCTCACTTTTGATAGGTTGTGTGGAATTACGGCCAACATTGGAATTCCCTGGGATGCTCATCCTGTATCTCTCATTTTTGTCGCGTCCTGTCTCACATGAAAAATACCCCTCTCATCGGAACTGCAGACGGTGTTCAGAACAGACCAACTTCTTGTCACAGTAGCCTTGGTGGTACTACGAAGCTGGTGCTTTCTGGAGGAACTAGTCGATGGACTGATGGACTCTGAGAACTGCCTGTAGGGTGGAAGAGGTTCACGGTAGACCGTGAGTACAACTTGCTCATTCATGGAACCCCCTTCCACACGTGTGGGCGCATCGGGCACATTGGGCGCAATGGAACTGACTGAAGCTCCCATGTCTGGTGGGGAAAACAAGATAGTCTTCACAATCTCACTTGTGAGCGTGGGTCTATGGTGACTTGTTCCCAGCTTGGGAATGACTCCTCCCTTGAAGAAACTAGGACAAACAGTCGAGGGTTGAAGACGCCATGGAGAGTTTGCACAGTTCAAAACCCCTGCCACAAAGGAGGCACTCCGAGGGGGAAGTCGATGCAGAGGCTCCTCTATGAGGGTTGTTGCAGAGGTGCTCAGCGACGTCCCATGCACGGCGACCATTGATATTCAGATCCACCTGCACCGATGGGGGCAAACCTGGTGGTGCACGGCTACCCACGAGCCATTTGCTCCGGCACTCATACTTACCCAGTTACTGCACAACCCTTTTATCCCATTTTGTTCCCAAACAGTTTACTGTTACTAGTAGCTTCTTGCTACTAGTAGCGATGCACCTGTTGCTCATAGCGATGCCCTTGTTACTAGTTTGAGGTCTATGCTGGTGCAATTCAATATAGTTTTTTCCCACTCAAATCCAACAGGTGGAGTTTTACTCTCTCGCTTGATCCCTTCTTAAAGTCCGCGTCACGGGTGACGCGGAGTTACGGTGAAAACCCCCAATGGATCCCAACGTGGATTTCCGGAGGAAGATTTCACCCAGATCCAAGAATGGGGCCCAGATCGCACCTGAGAGTCCAAACTGACGAAAATGAACTACCCCCCCCGAGGTCCTGCTAGTGGTGGATGGATTATGCCTGCCAGATGAAGTAGAATAAGTTAAGTCACGGAAGTTCTGGGGTCCTTCGAATTGCTGCTGGCCCAAAAGCGCGCGCCCTCTCCGCAGGAGTTCGAGGGACACCTGAACTTTGTAAATCAAGTGGTGACCTACCGAGGGGACCGCGGCCGCAGTTGGGACGAGTTTATTTTTTGGGGGTGGAGCACTGCAAGAGGATCTTTCTGTGAGTCCAAAGAACCACACACTTGGTGTAGGATGTTTGCGACATTCTGCGATATAGTTCTGGCATAGTCACTTTCATTGGTCATCTTTAGTTGTGAGTAGAGATGTTAAGCTTTCGAAGCTTCGATCTTTGTCCCTCCAACAAGGACCTTCTTGGCCACCACGCCTTGGGTGGTGACCTGTCTCAGTGTGGGGGACCAGGCGCCAGGTCGAGGTCATCTGGTCGATGAACGGATCTTCCGAGAGGCACAGTCAGATCTTAGTCTTCCCCGAATCCTGTGACCTCTGTGAGCTCAGTTCCCATGTTCAGCTCTATAGTTCACACATCGTTCGGCACTGACACATCCACCTTCAGCTTCCCACATCGTCAAGAGCTTCAAGAGGAGTGCAGGGGTGACGGATCCGGGGTGCCGCTGCCGTGGAGTTTGTTCACCGTCCATCCTCGTCAGGACCAGATCTTGAGCTGCAGCGATGATTACACGTGCCGCCTTTGGAAGATGGGTGACGCCTGGTTGAGATGGAACGACGAGAAAGCCGGGGTTTGAAGTGAGCTGTCGAACGGCGCGAGAAAGAAGTCGGGGGGAAGCACGGGTTTTTCACATGAGGAACTGGGTCATTCTGGTGAATGTTCACCAGAGTGTAGGGTGTGACCCCAAGCTTTATGTCTGGTGCTGGAGAAAGTGCTAGATTCGGCTCATCTACCACTGCTAATTTATATATTCCAGTTTCGATCTGAGGCCAACTTCAAATCCACAAAAGGCCAAACCATGGACTGGACAACCCCAAGAATCCCCAAGAACAGTTTGAGCTCCCCAGTTTCTATCACGTTCTCATATTTTACACCCTGAGTCACTTACATGGAAGTGGAGTGAGTCCACCTGTTTTCTCCTCCATGCTCGGGGCCTCATCCCTGGATCTTCCAACGGTGCACCATTTTCTGCTGAACTTCATCTTTAAGACCAGCCAAGTTCACAACTTTTGCATAGTTGAAAGATCCAGGTCCATTTCACCCCTCGTGCCTGGCTTTCACATGCTGACAAACACTCCAACACCCCGGCTTCGGCTTCGGCTTCCCACCACCATATGAATGGGCCTTCGGCTCTACCGAACCAACCTAAGTAACATGAAAAACTTCAACGGGGACGAACGCACGTGGCACGCTGGAAGCAGCAGCGACAAGCACTTCCCCTCGGACCGGGCAGCGGATGCAATGGAGCTGCTCTGCTCCACCCGAGGAGCCAGGAACCGAAGGGCAGCTCCTCTTCACGTGGCCAGAGAGTCCGTTGATGCGTCGGGTGGGTGTCGCGAAGAGGGCCGGGGGGTGAGGCCGTGCCTTTTGAGGCGGTTTTTGGAGGGTTTGGGGGAGCGGATTTTGGTTATAGGCAAACTCCGAACTTGGGGGAACTTGGGAGACATTTTGGGGAAGACTCTTGGGAAGAGTCGGGGCACTCGTCGACTTTGGCGTGGCCGGCCAAAACGAGAGTGCATTAAAAAAGATGGACCCCCAGTTCGACCCTCCCGGAAGGTTCGGAAAATAAGACCAGTCTACCCAGCCAGCGGCGATCGGGTGTCTTCCTATTAAAAGACACACCCGGATATTGGCTTACGTCGCCGATGGGTCCTCCTTTCCAAAACCTTGGGCAGAATTGTGGCCGTTTTTGCTGGCATCGAAGGTGGCGAGAAGAACGTAGGAGGAGAATCCTATCTTATATAGTCCCTAAATAGCGTACCTGTGTGCCCAAGACAGGCATTCCATTCCAAATTCACTTCTTGAAACAACACTCAGGGATCATAACGTACTAGCTGTTGCTTCATCACGGAAAGACCATCCCATCAGCCATTGCTCATCGACCACATTTGACCACCGTTTTCGGTTCACCGAAGAAAGAAGGATGTCCTTCATTCGCATCGAACTGAGCCAAAGGGGCCAGCCTGAAATCCTCTGCGAACATCGAATCGAATGAAATTTCCCAGGTACTGGATCAACATGTATCCCATGAAGGCGGTCTGTGCACTCCCCGGCCAACGTGCCGGCGTGGGTGGGCTCGATAAGACCGTCAGGAGCGCGCTGGGAAACGCTTCCGCTTCCGGCGTGGGTTCGGAACCGCGCGTACCAGGTGATTCAAGGGGATTGGCTTTTGCAAGACATGATGTTGGATGGTCAGATGTTGCATTCATGTGGTAAACCATATTCGGTTTCCAGTGTTCCTATATATATGTTGATTCGACTGTGCCGCACCGATCGTGGAACGATCATCGCATGT